AGCCTGGCTGATTGAGCCTAGCGGCACTGCTAGTGTGTGTGAGGTAGAAGGCAGGAGTCATGACTTCGCCGCTCAGGTTTGACGGGCGTGTGGTACTGGTCACCGGCGCGGGAGGAGGTGAGCCTGGAAGATTGTACGGCCGGCGCGCGCCCCCCTCACGCCGCGGACCCTCCGGTTTGGGTCAGGGATAGGTGTGCGGTCGCAGTCCAGGTTCAGGCGTCGGGACTGTGGGCGGGGATAGTGAAGCGGCTGGCAGAGAGTGGGCTTGACCCGGTGGCGGCGTGGTGGGAGGAACCGCAGTTTTCAAGGCACTGAATCTGAAGGGGAGCGCCGGCGAGTGGGGGGATCGGCCTTGAGACGGGAGTCACTCAGGCAGGTGCAGCCTACTTTCCCCAGCACCCACGGGCAGCTTCCCAAACCAGGCTGGGCGGCGGGTTGCACAACCGGGTGAAAGTTCTTGGCTCTGTGGGTGTTGATTATGACTCTTGGTGTGGGGAGACTCTTGTTAGGCCTTGGTCCGATCTCTTAAGGCCTGAAAAGCCGCCTCAGGCCTGGAGGTGCCATCTAAGGAGTGGAGATGCCAGCTTCTTGACTTTGAAAAGGCAGTTATTTAGTGTTTATTTTCTAATGTCTTATGTTTTTTTTAAGTTCTGGAGAGGGCCTATAAAGAGGGCATCCATCTGATAAGAGCCCTCCTTGGAGTTTGTATTGTATGCTTATCAAGCCAGGCTGTGTTTTCAAAGTCCGGTGGAATCCTGGAAAAGTTGTAAACGCCAGTGCGTTCAGGGACGAGGTAAATGAAAGAGGAATAAAGTGGGAATGGGACAGGAAGAGTGAAGAAAGGAAGAGCAGAGACATTTCTAAAGTGGACCATCCTTTCCTTAGGAAATTTGCCAGATCCTCGTATATTTCAGGAGAAGCAAACCGAAGAAATGTTATGTGAAAAAACCCAAACAATTTTTAAAGAACAAAAATTAAAACAAACCACTCTCACACACATCGAGCCTCTGCAGTAAGATATTTGCTCTAGTTTCCCCCAAGTGGGTGATCTTTGTAACCTTCACATGCAAGGGATCGTAACTTTATGCATCCTTGATTTCCCTTTTATAGAGCCTTGTAATAAAAGGGTCCTAACAAGGAATTATTTGAATTATATATTACAAGCCATAAACAATGGAATTGTCAATTAATTCATATGTACTTTTACATCTTCATTGATAAACTACATCTTAGTTTGCCTTTCAGAAAACAATTTCATTATTAATTGTTGTCCAAGTATTTTATACTCATATTTGTATTTATTCTGAAATGAGCTTTTGGGAAACTATTTTGCTTACTCTTTGTTTTTGGGGTATTTTAAATTTCTTTTGGCAATGACTTGACATTAAGCAGTGCGTTCTATACCAGAGCCCCTCCCCCATCTCCATTTGAAGCAAGTTCATGACACAGTACATGAAAATGCTGTGTACTCTGAAATTTTCTATTCTGTTTTATTACATCCCATAAAAATGACTTTGAAACATTAATGAATTGTGACTAGAAAATTATGAGCTTAGCTCCTCCTGTATAAATTGGCTGAATTCTCTCATCCATTCAGATTGGCTAAATTCTAAAATAAATTATGTGGTGATATCTTTTAGTTTTGGAAAATTTGTATTTTGGGTTCAAAATAAAATTTTTATTTTGTGTTCTTTCTTTTTGGGAAAGCCTGATAATTTAACCATTATCATAAGGTGATAATTTATTCACCTTAGTTTGTTATTTGTATACTTATTTATCAATTAATTTATACCAAATAAAAATTGTCAATTCAGTTCCTCCATTTATCAGTGAAATTTATTAACTTAAATTTTGAAACATGAACATATTAAAAAATTTTAGTGTAAAAGTAAGTCTTCTAGTTGCTGCCACTGTCTGTTCTTAAACGGTAATTACTAATTGCCAGTCTCCCATATATTCTTACATATTATAAGATCTGTATCTATACACATATCTTTGTGTATGTAAATCTATACTTTCTAGCTCTGAATCAGAATTAAAAGTTTTTTTTTGTGTGTGTGTGTGTCTGATTGTGTAGTCAAGCTTCAGTACAGGATAGAGAAATCGCTAGATAGTTTAAACAAAAGGATTGAGTACAAACAATTAGGTTTTAGTGATTTTTCTTAAAATGACTTTTGGAACAATATAGAACTGGTACATTAGAGTAGCCAGTAGTTCTGAGTCTGCCATTGGAACTCTGTCACAGCTCACATAAATTCAGATTTAAAGTATGGAAGCAGCCATTCAGGGATTAGGAAGCTGGTTAAGTAGGTTGCCTCCACAGGTCACTGTGTTTTAATAAATAGGAAGGTTCAGAGAAAATCAGCTTCTTAACCGGTACTTACAGCTCAGATTCTAGTAAAGTGACCTCTATCACTTCCACTTTCTAAATTTTGTGCAAATGCATCTAATGGTGGAATCTAGTTCGCATCTGGCATTTTAGCACTAGGTAGCAAGTTAGGAAATGTAAGTAGGGTGTATAGTAAAACGTAGTTTTAAACTTTCTAGCCTCTGCAAGCAAATGAGAGTGGAGTAGAGTTTGAGAGTGCAAATGACGACTCTTCTATTGTAATTACTGACTTTCAAATGGGGACTGAGTTGAGTGGGCCAAAATAATTCTGACATTTTCTGATTATTTTAAACCAGGTTTGGGCCGAGCTTATGCCCTGGCTTTTGCAGAAAGAGGAGCATTAGTTGTTGGTAAGTTGGTATATTTTTCTTTCTAATCAATAGTTCATAAAAATACAGTCTTCACAAGCCACTTTTGTCTTTCTATTAAGTAATTTGTTATGGTATAATTTCATCATAAAGTTTTAACTTCTGCCAGCACATCTTTCATCCTCTTAAGGTGAACTTTTTTTTTTTTAAGATTTACTTTTTAAAGTAATTTCACTTTTGCCTTTTCTTTTTTTTCTTTCCACTCTTTTATATTGGTGCATTATACTTGTACATAATTATGGGATTTGTTGGTACATATTCATGAAAGTACACATAATAATATAATTTGTTGTTTCACAGAATTTCTAACTTAATAGAATTGATAAAGAAGGGCAGACATTTGTTGTATACAAGGAAATTCTTGACTTTAGTATTGTGGGCTATAAGTTTTTAAGGTAGAAAGCTACTAATTTAAGATCAAAGGAGAATCCCCAAAAATACATTGATAAAATAAATAATTGAAATAATTTGATTTGAGAATTGGAAGTTTGGAGCCAGGCAATAAAAAGTGTGGGTCTCTTATCTCTTTCATCAAAAGTTTTCACTTCAAAACTTAAAATTCATTCATGGGTCAGTTTTATGAGTTTTAATTGTATGATGGGATTAGGGTCAGTTGGAAGATAACTGTATTGAAGAATCCCAAAGATGGGAAATTTTAATAATCTAAATAGTTTGGACTGGTCTGATTATTTGGTATTTGGTAGATACATAGTAGACAGTTTGTCCATAACTAGGCCTTTGTGTGGAATAACTGAATGAATGCTAAGTGTAAGTATATGTGTAGGGCAGATGTTAGGACCTGATGTTTATTAGTATCTTTCTGGGATAAAATTATTGACCACAGTGATTTCTTAATCCCAATTTTCCTGGGGAATTCAGAGAGAGAAATTTCTCTCAATTTGTTTATGGAGACATGTAATTAAAAAATAAACATGCAGCGAGATTTTCTAAACAAAAAGGCCCAAGCAGTGGAATGTAGCTTATCTTTGTGAAAGGGACACAGAGACTTTGGATGTTCCTTGCTTAAGATCATAGCTGCTCTGTACTCCTTCAATCGGTTTCTAGTAGCAAGGATAGATTTTGACATTATAGTGTTTGAACAGGGCCTACTGTTGTATACATTTCAAGCTCTCTGTCATAAATTTGGAAGAATATTTGATGTGTAGTCCTAAAGACTCATGCTGTTACTATTTTTTCTTTTCTTCCTTTTGAAGTGTTACTGTTTAGTTATTAATATTTTTATTTTATAACTTTTTATCTATTGCATCATTCCTATTCAAGTTTTCATAAGTACAAGGATCTCATCTTTTCTATTTCCTGAAGAAATATTACCTTATGCAAAGAAAGTGCTTTGTTCTTTGACTCTTTTGTTGACATTGTCTTTTTTGGGGGAGAGGCTAGTGTGTCTGAAATTGGTTGGATTAATTTTTCTTTTTTCTTTTGTTTTGACTAAGATATAGACATAGTATATAAACTTGTTTTATATGAGACTTTACAGCAGTATATGTTTGTGTAGGTTGTGTTTGTTTTACTATTTTGAATTTGTTAAATTCAGATGATGAGTGTTTGAATTCTGATAAAGGTAATGTACACAGGGACAGGGTGTCATATTTATTTTCTCATCTTATTTAAAGATGGTATTTCAGCAAGTCCTAATCAGAAGTCCAAGAAAGCAGATGAAAAATATTTGCTAAACTTGGCTGAAGAGCCAGATTTAGTTTTGTGTTAAAGGGCGGAATTCAGTATTTGTGAATCTGCAGAACCTATTTTTTTTTTGGTACTGGGGATTGAACCCAGGGTCTCATACATGGTAGGCAAGGACTCTACCACTGAAGCAGACGTTCGGCCCTTTTTTAAGATTTCATTTTGAGACAGAGTCTCACTATGTTGGCCAGGATGGCCTCCAACTAGCAGTCCCCCCAAATTGCTGGGATTATAGGCATGCACCAATGTGCCCAGCTTGTCCAGAATTTTCAGTTGATATTTTCTACACTTTTTTAGTTTGTGTCCTACTTCTGAACTTTCTAGGCTACCAAGATATTGTTACCTTACACATAAACATTCTGTTTCCAGGTTGTGCCATGCACAGACTTTTCTCCTTTGTTAATATTTTCTTGCTTAGAATAATTCTTACCTGAGGAAGCAAACAAATTGTAAAGGGAAATATATAAATCTAGGATGTTATGATGACATCAGAATATCTTGTTTTTGGAAAAGTGATCAGTCAGCTTATCCTATGACTAGTTCAGAGGCCAGTAAGAAATAGGACCTTAAGAAATAAAGTAGCTTGTTTCTCAAGTCCTCTTTTGCTAGGTTGTGCAGGGTTATTAAACAGCCTTTTAATCTAAGTGGCTCAGAGTAATAAAGAATTATTTCATGTTCATATTCAGTTTCCTGTCAGCTTGTGTTGTACTCTGTGTTCTTAATTTCAGGATGCTAGCTGAAGGAGCAGCTCGTATCTGGGACATTGCTATTATTGGGGCAGAGGGAACATAAAAATGGATCTACTTGGTGACTTTTTAAAGCTTTTGTTTAGAAGTGATATGCCACTTAACACTTATATTTTATTGGCCAAATCCTTTAGCCAAGACTAAAGTATATCATTTAAGAAGTTTTCTGGGGCTGGGGATGTGGCTCAAGTGGTAGCGCGGTCGCCTGGCATGCGTGCGGCCCGGGTTCAGTCCTCAGCACCACATACAAACAAAGATGTTGTGTCCGCTGAAAACTAAAAAATAAATATTAAAAAAAAATAAAAAAAGAAATTTTCTAATTTCATATTAATATGAGTGCTTTGTTTTATATTCCATAATATAAAACACTATGGACTATTTAAATTTTGGTATAAGAATTTCTAAGCTTTAAGTTTTCATGCTCTCAGATGATGTTTAGTTTTGTATAAATTACATATTTCTAGAGATTTCTGCATATTTGAAATAGGTGCTGAGGTGCTGGGAATTGAATAATTTTGAGGTTTCCTCAGAAGATGAGCCATATCCATCTTTGAGTGGTGAGTTTTAGCTTAAGGGCATGAATGCAAGGAAAACTGACATGTTCCAGCAAGGAGAACCTCTTCTTAGTAAGAAAGGCAAGGCAAACATTGTTATACTCTTGAACTGAAGAAATAACACCTTTGGAAAAATTATAATCCTCTGAAGTAAGATTGACATGACTTTTTTTTTTTCTCTATGCTGCAGTTATAGAATAACTCCTAAGTCTTAAATTCCTGTGGGCTGAAGCTAGAATTTATGTTTTCGACCACTGTGTAGATCCTGCCAATTAGGAAGTGCATGGTTTAGATCCTGACTCTACTGCCTAATTCCATGACCTTTTTATTTATAGCTTCCTTCCTGAACATGTAAAATTATGTTGAAGTTAAATTTCATAAAAAATTAAGGACCTTTATAAAGGAAAGAGAAAGGAACCAGTACTACTGCCTGGTTACCATGTACCAGGCACAGTGCTCAAGAATGGAATATATTAGTTCATGAGTGAACTGAGGTTTTGTTCACTCAGGAGGCATCCAAGCTCCTTTATTTAAAACATGTTTCTCTTGTAGATACTTAGAAAAAGGGCTGCTTTAATCACCAATGTATTTTCTGCAAGTGTTAAGATAGTGCTTTGCTTAGTAATCATGGGTATGTGCTGATTGAGTGAAAAAGTTAAACTTACATAACACAAGAAGAAAGATCATTATAAAATTTCAGCTTATAATGAAAGCCATATATCACTTATAATGAAAGAGCCCACATTCCCCCCTAGAGGTCTTTATAACTGTCATCATATTATAGGAGAAAACCTTTGAATTGCTTTAGGATAGCTTAGCTATTTACCATTTTTAAAGCCCAGTTTAGAAAAAGTTAATAAAGCTAATAAACTTATTCAACAAATATTTATTTAGTGATCTGTTAGGTAGCAAACACTGTTTTTGGTGCTGGGTGACTACAATGGGAATTAGAGAGGGCCTCCACTTTCATGGAGTTTATATTCTAGTGAGGAGACAGACAATAAACAAATACATATGTAAAAATATAATAGATGATGTGGTAAGTGTTATGGAGAAAAGAAATTATGGTGAATAGGATGGAAAGTGCTAAAAGAGGACTTTCTAAAGAGAGACTTGCAGGGAGTAATGGATGTACCTGTAGATCTGGGACCTAGAAATTTCTGGCAGAGAGCAGCTGGTGCTGAGGTCCTTAGGCAGGAGCAGGCTTCATGTGTTTCATGTGCAAGAGAGCCAGTGTGGCTGGATTGAGTGAGATCCTTGAAGGGACATAAACAAAGACAACAGTAGAGAATTGAGACCAGATCACATAGGATCATTTTGCTCAGAGTAAGTGCTGGTGTTTAACCTGATTCAGATGGGTGAAAACAGAGGAGCAGTATCACTTGATTTAAATATTAAAGGTGTCATTCTGGTTGCTCTTAAGAGACTTAGATGTCAGGGAGCAAGAGTAGAAATGGAGAAGGATGATGGGCTCACTGGGTTTTTTTTTTTTTTATTTTTATTCTTTTGTGTACATGTATAATTTTCTATTAAAATAAAAAGTGGAAGCAAAGAGGACAGTTAAAGGCTATTGCTATAATCTACTGCTATGGTTTGGATGTGGTTTGAGTAATCTCCAAGGCTTCATGTAATTTATCCCCATGTGAGATATCAGGAGGGTGGAAGCCTAATCCAACTATGGTGTTTAGAGGTTTGGCCTTTGGGAATTGGTTAGGTTTTGATAAGATCATTAGGATAGAATCCTCCATTATTGAATCCTGGTGGCTTTATAAGGAGGGGGTCATATTAATTGATTCATTTATCCTGTCCTTTAGGAATACCTTTGATGCCTTCTTGTTATGAGACAAATTGAATGATGGTGTCCTTTCCATAAGTCTTTTTTTTTTATTGGTTATTCAAAACATTACAAAGATTGCAGAATCACATCGGTTACACATCCACATTTTTACATAATGTCATAATAGTAACTGTTGTATGC